TAAAATGTTTTTATTGCTCTTTACTGAAGAGCAGTAAACAGACAGTTGCATCAGGATGTATGGTGCTAGATGTACATTTCTAAACAGAAGTGTAAATGTTCAACTATCTGATAACACTGGTGGAATGTTTAGCTCAACATCTGGACCTTGACAAAATTACATCTGTCCTTACAGGTAACGTTTGAAGTGATGAACGATACAGCTGAAAGCAGAGGCAGGTGATAAAAGGTCTTGCCTGACATGTAGACACTGTGTGGGTTCTTGGTTTTGTAGTTGAATGTTTAATTCAGATATGTTTCACTGTGGGATTCTGGACCATTTCCACAACATCCAACAAATCATAAAAAACAGTTATAAGAAAATCCTGGAGCCTTGCTGAGGCCCGTGGAGTCTGATGCACTAAAGTTTAAAGATTTTCACTTTTAATACTTCATTTTTACAGAAACTTGAAACCCTCTATACTTTCTAGGAAATAAAAAGTTTAATTTGAAACGATTTCCCAATTTAACAAGCTTAATTCAACCAAATGCAGTGGCGCACCCAACATAAATGCATCTGTGAGTCACAGATGCATTTCTAAGGCATCTTGGGAGGAAAAAAAACTCATAGAGAAATCAGAAAGGAGGCAAGGAAGCAGAAGCCATAATGATGTATTTATCTTAGATAGATTTTTTTAATCTTACACAAAAACTAAATGAAAATTATGCAACTGTTCCCTGTCAGTACCGACTTCTGCAGCATTGTTTTTGTGCCACCAGGGGGCACTGTTGCCTCTAAACACTTCAGTTATTATTTTTAAAGTTACCTTCTGTCCTTACAGTTATATAATTATTAATGCTGTCAAATGACATGGAGTGCATTGCAATATACATATTCAGCCGTAGTAAAGTCACTGTTTGTAAAAGAAAAGAAAAATTTTAGATTAGAAAAGATAGATTCGTGATTAATCGTGATTAAATTTTTTAATCTATGCCCAGCACTAAAATTAATCAATATAATTTAACTCGATTAATTTCGCAGCCCTGATAATTATAAAATATGTCTACAATTAAACCTAGTTTACTGTTGCGTTTGGTGATGCTCAATATGCATAAGGTGGAATTTCGGGCGGGGTGGGGGTCTGTCTGTAAATGACAACTCTTTTGTAACATAAATGAGAAGAAGACATACAAACAAGAGAAAACCAGCCTGAGACTGCCACATTAAACAACACCAAGTGTACTTTTTATCCTGCCATGAAAGTCATAGAGAACTCTGATGTCTGGTCCACCATTATGTCCACCTTCAGTAATGTGTGGCCCTTTTTTGTTTTCTGGTGAATGTCTGTGCTTTTTTGGGTTGTTTATTTCAGCCCTGCAGTCCACAGGGTTAATATTTTTGGAATTCAGTGATGTTAGTGTGTGTTTGCTTTTAGAGGGGTTATGAACTTCTGTGCAGACTCAGAAATACAAATCTTGTGACTACTTCTGAAACTAATATGTTTTTAGCCACTGCTTCAACTCTGTACACAACCCATTCCACAATTTCATAAATACTTCTAAACACTTCCAGCTCAAATTCGGTGTGGTAGTAGCTGAGTGTCACTCCCAATACTATGAGTGAGTCATTGTATATAACATTATTTTCAGGGTTTAACCAAGTACAGACACCGTACTTTATCATTTCTCAGAATACAGTCAGATGCTAATAATTTTATGTTATAAGTAGGGATGCAAGATTTATCGGCATATATCATCAGTCCGATAAGTAAAACTGGGCCGATATTAATGCTCAATATCGATTTCCTGCTTGTTGCTGTTAGTTGTCTGTTTTAGGAGGGGAGAAGATTGGTCAACTATCTGTGTGATGATGATAGTGATGCTGTGCACCCAGGAATAACTGAAGTAGAGAGCCATGTTAGCAGTGTTTTCATTTATTTACAGTACTGGAAAAAAAGACACATGTATTTGTGCGTATATGTGTAAATGGTAAAAGGAAAGTGAGCAAACCTGACAGCTGGTAAAAAATATTAATACTTAAGTGTACTCACAGATTAATATTCAGTCATAAATGAAACTAACCCTCTAACGTCAGTGGCTATACCTGCTACAATGCAGCAGCCACTAGGACTGATTGTTGCCAAAAGAAACTGGAAGTCTTCTGGTCCTCCTTCATTGTGGGTCACTGACATGTTGTCCATTATACAAATGACTGGACTTCATAAAGGCTCCAAAGATACTTTTCTGTGTTACTGGAATCCCTTCCTAGAACCTTTTGCAAGGACCAGATTACGCTAAACAGACTCTAATTTTAAAAACTCCCTTTGCCACATTTGTACATGTGTGTGAGTGTTTACTCCATGTTAACTACAATGCTTAATGCATGAATCTGTGCATCTGGGCCCAGTTTGTTTGTTTATTTGTCTATTTGTATGTTCTATACTTTGAAAAGTAAAAAAAGGTAACTCAGAGAGAAGCAAGATGTGTCACTGGTGACGGCTCTGTCCACCAACACCATTTGTGTTATGTTTGGATACAAAATAAAAATTAAATAAAAATTAAATCTAAAAATCAGACACTCAAAAATGGTCTAATTGACATTTATTTAAACTTCTCACTCTTGACTGGAATAATCCCAGTAAAATATTACAAATTCAGTGTTGGTGCAGAAGAGTCACAATTAAACCAGAAACATGAGTTTCTATCAAACACATTGCGGTAAATAGTTCAATTGTCCACATCTTTTATCTGTCCTGAACAAATGGTAACGTGTCATGTGGACTTATTTCTCAGTCCATGAGGGCTTCTTAATGCTGGAAATCAATTGGAAGGGTGATGTCAAGCCTTCCATCTCTCTGTCACGCAGGCTTGGATTTCCTTTCAAGTTTGTTGCAGATAACCAGAAACATCTTCATTAAACTGGTCTATGAGCTGAATGACGTTGTTCATGATGGACTCACAGAACTCTCAGAACTGCCTCTCAGACTTGAGAGAATCAACAAACTCCTGAGTTTTCTCAGCAACTATCTCATGAGTATCGCCTGTCTCTTCCAGCAGTGCATCAAGACTTTCCATATCTTTCCAGAATTCCACCACTTCCTCAAATACCTCTTTTAACACCAGTTTTGACCTCATTCTCTATCTAGCTTCCAGTCATCACCTCACCATTGCAATTTCAGTGTTGGCTATCTGTCCTAAAAGGTAGTTGACGTTCACCTCCATATTCTGATAGATAATCTGGATGGTTACATCCAGCACATCAGCAATGATGTTGGTCAGCCTCTTTATGAGCTCAGGGAGAGTAATCATCTCATCAGACCCAGGCAATCTGAAGCGAGTCTCTCGAGCATCAAGGAAGGTCTGAACAGTTTTTTGGTACCGTACAACAGGGTTCCTGAAAAAAAAAAAAATCAAAATCTGACTCATTTGAATGTCACAGTTGACAGCAACATTGTCTGTATTCATTGATGGAGAGTTTCAGTAACTCCACACTCCCTGTGATATGATTTGTCAGCAAATTCTCTAAATGAAGACATGATGGAGGTTAGTCTGTCTTGAGCTCAGAAACCATTGCCTTAGTAACCTCAAAGTCGGTCTTATCTGCATCCTTAGAAGATCTGACTTTCAAGATGTCAACATCACTCTCCAGAGCACTCTACAAAAAGGAATTACAAAACTGTTTACGTATATTTTTTATTTCCAAATGTAAGTTTTCATTGCATCTAAAATAAAAAAATCAAACAAAAACTCATAGGATATCATCTTGCTGAAATGGGTCTCTGTAATTAAGCTGAAGACCAAGGAACCCAACAGTACACTGAGGCAGTAATAGCATCTCTGTTGGTCGGGTCAGAGCATTTCCATTATGTGTTTTCAAACTTGCATCATTTTTCTAACACACAGTTGGTTTTTAGAATGCTTATTTTTTTATTTGCAGTGTATTTTTCATGTTTTTGGGTTTGCATTTTGAAGTTAGCAACATTTTCTAACTTGCAGCCAATATTATGAATGCAGCATTTTATTTTATTTTTTTATTGTTTTTTGTTTGTTTGTCGGCCGCCGCAGTATTTATTTATTTATTGGTCCATTTATATATTTCTGCTTTTATTTCTACTTATTCGGTCCTCCACAACATGCAGAGTTGTAAAGTAACTAAGTACAAATACTTTGTTACTGTACTTAAGTAGAATTTTTGGGTATCTGTACTTTACTTGAGTAATTATTTTTCAGTCTACTTTTTACTTCTACTTCTTACATCTCTACACAATTATCTGTACTTTCTACTCCTCACATTTTTAAAAAGTAAAGAAGTAGAAAGTCGTTTCTTTTATTTATTTTTTCCTTGTTTTTATTCCAGCTTGTTATTATAAAAATAAATACTATCCATATAAATTGTGCCTCCTAGATAGAGTGAATTTAATTGGTTGAATGAGAAGTATAAATACTATATATAAAAAACTCTGATACCATATTAGTTTGTACACAAACAAATCATGTCACACTCCAGCAGGACATAATCATTAAAATAAAAGGTGTGTACTTAAGAAGTATTTGTATTTCATGAATTCTATTATTGCATTTTGAAGAAAACCTTTGGGCAGCCTTGATATATGTAAATAAACTGAAACAGCTAGACTAGTGCATCCTAAATTTAACGTAAATTAATCATTGTAATATGATATATTCATTTTAGCATTTTTTTTTTGGGGGGGGGGGGTCACCTCCTTATAAATGTCCTTACAGAAAAATCTAAGTGCTCATTTTAAATCAATACTTTTACTTTTAATACTTAAGTATAAAAAATAACAGATACTTTAAGACTTTTACTCAAGTAATATTCCTAAAGGAGACTTTAACTTTTACCAAAGTAATTTTTTTGGTAAGATACTTGTACTTTTACTCAAGTATCACTTTGTGGTACTTTATACAACACTGACAACATGTCTCTTTGACAAAGCTGCTGACTCCTGCAGTTCTTCCAGGATCCTGTGGTGTCACTGTTTCCCCTGCCGCATGTTCGGTCGCCGGAAGCTGAAGTCTCGCGATACGTTAGATTTTCGAACATGGCGTCGGAAGCAGAGGCGGGCACTGCTGTAGTGACAGAACAGGAGCCAGGAGGAGGGTAAAACTGCTTAATCTGTACTGTTTTCATTTATTGTTAAAGTGTGAAGTACACATAAGATAATCTGTGTAAAGCTAACTCTCGAATTTGCTTTGTTTGTCTGTAAGTATTGTTGGCAGACAGGCTAACTAGTAAACAACGTTAAAGCGGAGCTCGCTGCCTTTGTTTTCTCTGTAAATAATAATCGGACGGATAAAATGCACAGGTCCGGAATAGAACCTTTTTTTGTTTTGTGAATTAAAGTTTACGACTGGTTTTTTTTTTGCCTTTACGTTCTCCTCAATTAAGCCTTTGATTTAAAATTTGAATATTATCAAATTAGAACACTTATTTGCCTTATTTTATCCAAGTTAAGTTTTAATGTTTCGTATTTCTAGGAATTATTAAGCACGTTTTGATACGATTTTATTTTAAAGGAACAAAGCAAAACAAACCATCCAACTAAGAAAATTTAACAATGATCAAAAACTGCTCAAAAAGGAGAAGGGCAGAGACAAAAGCTTATTTCAGTTCATTACACATTTTTTCTACCTGTTTGTGAATCCCCCCCCCCCCCCATTTATCCTGTTTTTACAAATGCATATTTTGATTTTGTAACATTAAATAATATACGTGTATACAAACATTGTATACATAATACACCCACATGTTTTGCAGTAGTTTTTCAGTCAAAGCCCATCTTCTCTTTCCTTTAAAGCACATGTTTATGCAGCTGTTTAAACTGAGTTTCATCAGTTCATGAGTCCATTCACAGCTTCACTCCACATAGACACAAACATAGTTTTAGTGTTGTGTTGTTCAAACACCAGCAGGTTTTAAATTTAGCTCAAAATCTATCGCCCATCCCTTTTAAAATGTTGTCAGGAAGTAAGATTGTTTAGTTGCTTTATGGAGTTGTGTGAAAGTGAACCAGGTCAGTAAATTTAAATTTTTTGATTTTAAGTAAGAATAGTGCATTTGTATAATTTCTGTAGTATTCTGTCACCTCTTAGATAAAATTGTTCATCATAAAGTAACAAGTTAGCTGTCTGTTTTTGACAAATGAGTACATTTTTACACACAAGTAAACTCCTACATGATGCAGATTTTTTTAATCAGTTATTGTAAGGTCTGTTTAAAGGAGGGCCATCTTAAAATCTTCTGGTCTCACCTGAATTTTAGGGAATCTTCCTTTGGGGATCTACCTGCCAGCATGGATACAGAGTCATCAAATGGCAAGGATGGAACGGTAACTGATCTATTAATATTTAAGTATTATGAGTTTGTTGAACACACAAACTCATGATAAAACTAATGATAAGAATATTCTTCCTTAGATTTTTTTGAGCATTTACTGGCAAACAAAGGATTTAGATCCCTAACATTAGCATCACATTCGGTAATCACTTTAGATAATTAAAATTAGCATTAAAACTAAAAATTTACTGTGTTCAATGAGTCAGAAATATCATTATGTGTTTGTTTACATCTGCATCAGCTTGTTCAACCACGAGTTCTGGATGTATCTTTGGGTACAACTAGGAATCCTAATGTGAACTCTTAGTCCACCTTAAAGGATTTTATTTTCATTTGGTCAGATCACCCACCTCTACGGTGTGGTCATCTCTGCATATCACCTTTGCAAACGAGTGTTTTGTTTTCCGCAGGAGGCTGCTGGTGAAGGCTCTGAAGTCGCCGATGCTCTCACTGGATCTGGAGATGAGGAGAGCGGGAGGCAGCTCGGGGAGGTGGAGCTTCAGTGCGCCTTGTGCATGAAGTGGTTCACCGCGGATACGTTCGGCATCGACACTGCGTATGTGTATTCAGAACGTTAAATCTGTAAATCTGCAGAACGATACCGTTACCTGCTCTCCTCCTCTTTCCCAGAACCTGTCTCCCCTTCATGACCAACTACGTGTTTCATTGTAACGTCTGTCATCACAGCGGGAATACGTACTTCCTCAGAAAGCAAGCAAGTAGGTGTTCTGTTTACTGTAACGTCATCACTGTTTTATTTGTACTCATTTAGTGATTGGAACTCTTTAACCGCCCTTATTTGTCTGTCAGACCTGAAGGAAATGTGCCTCACAGCCTTGGCAAACCTTACATGGCGATCTAGAACACAAGATGAGCACCCAAAGACCATGTTCTCCAAAGACAAGGTAGACCTGACACTATTAGTCTAATCAGTACATAGTTTATTATTTTTGTAAAACAATAATTTAAGAGAACTTGCATTGTTCGTCACATGAAGTTGTTTTCATGTACTTGAAAAGAAAGTTTTGTTTTTGGTTGTTGCAGGATATCATACCATTTATTGACAAGTACTGGGAGTGCCTGACAACTCGTCAGAGACCAGGAAAGCTCACCTGGCCCAACAACATAGTGAAAACCATGGTAATTTAATATGTTTTGGATCACTTTGAAAACTTTGTACACAGCCTCCATCAATCTGATGAGTCGTTGCTATCATCCAGTGTTCAGACTGCATTATAGTACTTTAACATACCGTATTTTCTGGACTATAAGTCACAAAAGTAAAAATATGCATCATGAAGAGAAAAAAAACACAGATAAGTCGTACCTGAGTATAAGTCGCATTTATTTAGAAATGTATTTTATAATGTCCAGGCTTAATTAACATTATGTAACAAACCAGCCAGTGCAAAAAGCAAATTACAGTTCACCACAGCTTCACTGATCTCACTCCACATCACTGAATCCGTTAGTCTTCATCCTCGGTGTCGCTTCTGAACAACTCCGCCAACTGCAGAGGAACAGGAAGTGCTGCCGTCATCTCATCTTCTGCAGGGCTGTCATCAGACTCAGCTTCAGTTCTTGTTATTCCAGCCTTTCTGGATCCTGACAGGATGGTTTCAACTGTCACAGAAGTCCACGCTTTGTCGATCCATCCAGTCCAGTCTTTCACAGTTTTCTTTATATTGTCAGAATCTGAACCATCAGGTACGAACCAGAGGAGGCAGCATTTAGTTTCTTTAACTCAGGACTGAAATCAATTTGTTGCAGCCTTACTAAGAGTATGAACGTTTATTTAACGCTAATGGTTTTACACTTATTTATACATTTTATTAATGTAGTTTGTTAATTGTATTTTCTCTTCTCTGTAAAGGATTTTTGGTTGCTCTGTGTGCTAATTGTTTCAGACGCAACAATTTGTAATTTTTAAAAATTTTTTAATTTATTTTCTAGAGCAAAGAACGGGATGTTTTCCTTATGAAGGAACACCCTGACCCTGGCAGTAAAGATCCTGAGGAGGAGTACCCAAAGTTTGGTCTTCTGGATCAGGTATTGATACCTTTAGATATTACAGTATAAGCCACACACAGCAGACTGTGAACATCCGTACAGAAGAAAAAAAAAGCTGCTACCTCTGTGATTAACCTCTACAGGATCTGGGAAATATTGGACCTTCGTATGACACTCAGAAACAAACCACTGGAACTCCCACAACTGGAGGGCTTAATGGTAAGAAACCAGTTAATATCCAAACTGGAACCAAACCACTTCAAACATAGAGTCCAGTACTCTTCAAACATAGAGGGAGTACTATGACGGGAAGGGCGGATGCTTTAGTTGATTTGTGTACCTCTCTGAGACCGGTGTGGTTACAGAACTGAGTTAGCATGTATGTGTGAAGCTGGTGCTTTCACCTCTTTATCAAACACATCTAAATTTACTTTGTGACTCTGCACAAGCACACACACGCAGCAAACTGCTTCTGGTTTGAAAATAAGAGTTCTTAAAATAGAAAAAGAGAGCAGGTTTCACAAAGTTGTCTTTTTTGTCAGTAAAACTAACTTGGTGAGTGAAGATGCTTTGTTTGATGGTTTTGTTTTGGGTGCTGTGGTACTGTATTTTTGGAGCCTGATTCTTCACAATAAGAGGTTTTACCATTGACTTGAAAGCTCTGCCTACACATCCTTCCTGAGATTGTTATATTGTCAGTTACAGTTTAACATACCATAATAACTAAATGAACTTAAATTTATTTCTTTTAAAAATTCACATTTTTACAGGAGCAATGTAAAAATTATGTGAACCAATCAGCACCTGAAACAGGGTTCCTGCAGATCCTTAAAAAGTCTTAAAAGTCATTGAATTCATCAATCCAAAATAAGGCCTTAATTAGCCTTAAAATGTCTTAAATCAATCTTTCAGAAGTTTTAAAAATGTTAACACATTGTAAATAGGATGACTGTAATTCATCTCAAATAATAACATTATTGGTAACATTAATTTTTTTAAATATTCACATGCAGACATTCCCGTTTGACATCACTTCCTGTTACTTCACATGCAAATATCTCAACAACTGAGCATCGTGAAATTTGTTTTGTAATATGTAAATAATGCTGTCTTTCCAAAAAAGCATTCACTTTTCTTACATAAATTGATGTCACATGCACTTTAAGGTTTCATCTACAGCAAAATGGGGTTAAGACCCCACTGTGGGTCCTAAAACAACAAATTTTGTTTTGTTAAACTGACTGCTAAGAATGTTTTGGCTATATTTAACGAAAAAGCAGTTAGATATGGATAAAACAAGTGGTCTATTAGCAAAATATGTGAATACTTAAACGAAAAATACTTTTGTTCATGAGTTGCTGCTACAGTTTTTTTTGTCATTTGTGTTTATTATGAAATTGGTCTTAAATTTAATTTCACTTGGCATTAAAAAGTCTTTAAAAGTCTTAAATTTAACTTGCTTTAAACTGCAGGAACACTGAAAAGAAGACTATCAAACATAATTTTTAAAAATCACGAAACTGTCTCATTAGTTTACATGGAGAGTCAGGACTTAAAAACTGGACTACAGTCGGCCCATTACAGGGCGTTCGTCCTTTGTGGCTTCAATTTCTGGCTTCTGGTTCCATCTCTAGTCAAAATATACAGTGGTTTGCAAAAGTATTCATACCCCTTGAACTTTTCCATATTTTGTCACATTACAACCACAAACATAAATATATTTCACTGGAATTT